GTAAGTTTCAGAGGGTGACTCGGTGAGTCCATGGATAGACTCAGCGAGTCAGGTCACGACTATGGTCGCGTATCAAGTGGCCTACTCGGCGAGTCCAAAGATGGACTCGGCGAGTAGGTGCTGTATGGAGAAAACCCTAATTTTAGGGGTTGAGCCCTATATAAAGAGCATTATGCCCCTCCACAGCCTCCCTTATTCCCCCCTTGAGTTCCAGAAACCCTAAATTCGTGGAGAGTCTATTTGTGGAGCAAATTAGAGCTTAGAGAGGTGTTGGTTGAAGAAATCTTGAAGGAGAAGTGGCTTGGATCAAAGGGCTTTGCTTGGATTCGAGTTTGGTTGCTATTGAGGCATCTTTTGGAGGTAATACTTTCGTTCTTGGGCTGTGCTTTCCTAGTTTCTCATTTTGGGGTTGTGTGGGATGCTTAGCTGTGTGGCATCTTGATGTTTGGGGTATGGATCTGAGGTTGCTACCTCAGATCTAGAGTGGAGAAGATCTTAAGAGCATTAAAGCCCCTGTTCTTGTGTTGTTAATGGAGCTATCATGTCCCAAATCTTGGTTCTAAGGTGAATAAGGCCTAGATCTCTTTACGTGATGGATGGATTGTAGGAGGTTGGATCTATGTTTTGGATCAATTGCATGGCCTGAGATGCTTCTGTATGGATTCAGACCGGTGGTACTCGTCGAGTCACATGGGGCGACTCAACGAGTTGCTTGAAGATGGCCTGGAACTCGACGAGTTGGAAGAACAACTCGGCGAGTAGGTTGAAGATAGCCTTGGACTCGACGAGTCCATTTGGACTCGGCGAGTCTTGTCGAGGAAGTCCCAATATTTCTGGATGAGTCGATGAATCGGTGTGTCAAGGGATGACTCGGTGAGTTGGGTGCGAGTGGACTCAGAGTTGTTAGACTCGACGAGTCTTGGGTTGACTCGGCGAGTTGGGTCGCTAATTGAGGGAAGTTCTGAGCATAAGGACTTGGCGAGTAGGGTCAGTCAGGGTTGACTTTGACTTGTCCAAGGTTGACCAGTTGTCTTCCAGAGGTATTTTGGTAATTAAGGGTATTTATTGAGTTGTATGTTTTGACGTTCAGTGGAGGAGTTCGTGTCAGAGTTCGGAGCAACGAGATCTTATCCTTTGAGCCGACAGTTTCGAGGTGAGTTATCCTCACTATATCATCAGGGTCTAAGGCACCAAGGTCGGCCCTTTATTGGATTGAGATTTGGATATGGTTATTATGTTACTGTTTGATGTGTCTACATCCTGATAGCTAGGATAGTACATGCTAGGAGACCTTGTCAAGGTCAGTTTCCCGATATATATAAAGTGATGATATGCTAGTGACCAGTTAGGTCGGTAACCTGGGTAGAGTAATGATATGCTATGTGATCTGTTTGTTCGGTTTGTTGGCTATGACTGTTATATGATTGTATGTTCTGTGCACATGGTTGTTTGGACTAGAGATGGGTTGAGGCGGGTCCTACATTGTGCTGTAGGCCAAGATACCCAGGGCGGACCGGTTACTCCGAAGGCCCAGCGAGCGGTCCGGATAAGCTGTAGGCCCCACGAGGGCGGACAAGACGTGCCGAGGCTCGGAGAGTGGACCAGGCCGACTGAAAGCCCGATGCGGGCAGACCAGTCACACTGTAGACTCAGAGTGTGGACCAGGTGGGTTGAAGGCCCGATGCGAACGGACCAACCCCACTGTAGACTCGAAGGACATGACTAGACCTGGAGGATGGATCCGGTGGACTGAAGGCCCGATACGGCGGACCAGTCACCCAGTAGACCCGATATGCGTGGTTGTTCTATGTTCTGTTATGTTATGTATGTTTTATATGTTTTGGACCGGAAGGTCGTAGCTTGGAAGGGCGTATACGTGGTTGGTATTTTGGGGGTATCTCACTAAGCTTTTGGGCTTACAGTTGTGGTTTAATGTTTTTCAGGTTCTTCAGGAGACCGTGGCAAGGCACAGTGGTTTAATGAAAATCGGTTTGTTTTGAAAAAATTAAATTGGTTGTATTTTTCGGATGTTACAACAATTGACACTGATTGGATTTGAAACCAATGTTGTATGACTCGATGTTATAAAAATGAAGACATTACTTAGTATTTTTGGGATGTGACGAATTTGTATCAGAGCCTTGTTTTGAGGTATATGCGTACACTCTCGAGTGAGTCAGAAGAAAAGCTGAGGAATTGATAATCTTTTTAAAGAAAATAAAACTATGTAAACATATTTTTACAAGGAAAGGGGTGTGATGCATGCAATCATCTGACCTTAATTAAGTGATTCCTAAAATATCCATAAATGTTGATATTTTATATGATGTAGAATGTTTGCATGCTAGGATAAGGCTAAGGATACCTTCTGGACTTGCATGATAGAAAGGTCTGGTTTAGGATTCCTTGTTGACTAGAGGAATTGGGTGCGATGTTACATTTGGAATCTATGTTGGTAGATTAGATTGTTAAATGTATGTTTCAAAAATTGTATACAATTAGGATCATATAGCCCTAGAAAGATTGATTTGGCCTTACTTTCTGTTCCTCGTCTGGTTGTGGACTTAGGGTAGAATCAATTATTTGATAGTCTATTAGATCCTAATTATGTATAATTTGCATGCATAAGGCAACCGACAGTGTTAGTGGTAGTCCCTAGCATGGTAGCAGCAAGTGAGTTGGATATGCCCTTTGATGTTTTCATGGCTTTTCAGTGCTACTACATAAATGTTGCTTGCTTTGTGCTTTGTGGGACTCTTATTGATGTGAGTTAACTATCAAATGAATATGTTTAGTTACATTTTGTGAAGGTTAAAGGATCTTAGAGTGATTGATTTAGACCTATTGTTGGGTACAAAGTTATCCATGTATGATTTTGTAAATGGTTTGAATTTTGTAGACCTACTTGCATGTGGTAAAATAGCCTTGTGACATGAGAGAGAGTGAGAGGAGAGAGAGAGAGAGAGAGAGAGAGAGAGAGATGTAAACACCTCTATATAAGGTGGGTTCATTCCACATGTAGAGGTGTGCTTGAGAGATGAAACATTAAGAGTGTTAGTGTGTGTTAATTATCTAGATTTAGATCTAGATCCTTCTTTGTAACACCCTTCATAATCAAATGCACCTCTTAAACACCAAAATCATTGTGTTCTTTAATTTTGCATGCCAAACCAATGTCCATAATTCACATCAATTGGTATTAGAGCGTGTCTTCGAAGATCAACATGATTTTTTTAAGAAACAATTATCTGTTTGGGTACAATAATCACAATTGGAGCATTTATGGTGAGTCTCTTTATGGTCTCTCTAAATCTTGTTGATTTGTGTGTTGCGTTCTTGATTTTTTATCATTTTGATTCATTGGATCAATTTTTTTTAAACCCACTTGTTATGATACAATAATTTCTTTCACTGATCTCGCCCAAACAAAGTAAAATCTTGCGTCTCCTTGCTGTTCATAATCAATACAGTGTTAAAATTGTTTTTGAGATCAAAATCCAATTTAAATCATTTGTTAATAAATTGATATTAATTTAATTCATGTATTCGATTATTAGCCCAAATCTCAATCTGATTACTTTTTATTGGTATGATGCAAGCCTAAAAGATTGATTTGATACTATTCATTGAGTGTTTCGATTTAGCCCTAAATGTTCGATGTGCGTCAACCTATTGCGTATTGAGAATGGAAAGTTAATTTTTGTTTGGTATCAAACGAAATTGATTACCTTCACTTTGGTTAATTAGATTAAAGAAGCAAAACTTGGGATTGTAGGATATGGATGGATGATTTATTGGGAACATACTGGATGGGAGATATCGACAATTGAAGGAAAATGATTGATTTCGAAATTGAGTTGGAATCAGTCTTTGTTATTGATGGTATTTTTTTTCTGTAATGAAAGCACGGAACGAAGGCTATTTAACAAAGTGAATTTGATTTGGTGTTGGGAAGTCGATGGTCGATGATAGACGGTTGATGAAGAATTTTTTTGAAAGGGTTATTGTCATTGTTGCCCAATAAACTTTAGTATATTGGTTTAAACGGTCCCTCGTGACTATTTTTTGCATTTGAAGGGAACAAACTTGTATTGTTAGGTTTTAAAAGGTCATTCTGGAAAATTTGAAGGGGTCACCTAGTGACACCCATCCTAATCAGCAGGTTTAAATGCCAACTTAATTGCCACGTGTAACACCTAATGTAATGCTTTCTTTAGAACCCGAATCCGATCAAATCCCTTACCATCTTCCATCTTCACCTGCTCTGATGTTGTCTTCTTCGGCTCCGTCGCTGTCTTCTTCAGCTCCAGCGATGGCCCTGATGTTCACTCCAGTAGAATCGAACACCAAGCATAGAGTCTGTTATGGTGAATATCGATTGAAGGCTTAGTGTGGATAGGATGCATTCCTTCTTTTTCCAGGGTTAGGAAAACCCGTCATTGTTTTTTGTTCAAACAGAAACCCATATCGATCTTTTGGTTAAAAACCAAGTTCATCCCTTGTTTAATAGTTGTTAAATAGATCTAGAGAGAGAAACTAATGAAGATGCAGACCGGTGAAGATGAAACTAATGTTACCTCGATGAAATCGAACCCCAATCGATTTCGCTGCTCCTTTCCTTCACTAACCATTGCCATCTTCGTCTTCAAAGGTTCACGAACCATTGTGATGAGTAATTTTGTTTATTAGAACTGAACTTGTTTATAAAATTGAAAAGGTTGCTTGAAATAGTTATCATATAACCTTTGACGGTGGAGCTAATCAATTCTTTAATGGCTTCTTGATTTTACTATCACAATCAACCGTCGATCTACACTCTTTTCACCTCCCTCTCCGTTAGAACCCTATTTTATCACCCATACACATACCCAACCTAATAATTTCATCATTAATAAACCCACTACCGGTGATGATGACCATAGAAGGGCAAGATAGATGTCTTGGCAACAGCTCAACAAATTGTCAAGAGCCTAAACATCAATACCAAAGCATCCGAGGATATGATCTTGATTCTCTCCAGTTTTCATAATCGGTTGTCTAACATCACCGATTTGATGGAGGGAGGTGTCAGTGATCATTTTGTGTCAGCAGAGAAGATTATCCTCCGGCATGATTCAGGTCTCGGTGAACCTTCGTCCAGGAGCTCTTCGCCATGGGAAGAGTCGTCTACAGAAGCTGCTGAGTATTTGGAAGTTGTTGACACGATTATCCAGTTAACGGAAGACCTCAATATCCAGTCCGATGCCGATAGTGAGATCATAAATCGAGCTGAAAACGCGATCCAGTTAGCTAAGAACCCATCAAGCTGAAAACGCGCTCTAGTCATCTCTAATCATCTTATCATCTAAATCTGTTTCATCTTTGTTTCCGTCGTAATCATCGTCAAAAACCATATCTCATGGAGTTGAAGATGATTACCAAGAACCCATCAATTTATGTGTACCCAGATAAAGGGTAGTGGTGCTGTGATTTCTGGAGGTTGTGAATCAATGGTGGTTTTTGTTGCTATAAGATACCATACAAACACACCTAGTAATCCACACAAACACACCTGGCAACGATGAGTCGACTCACCACTGATTCATTGTTGAGTCACCTGCCTAGTTGGCAGCTGATATGGCACTGTAACCTTCAAAAATGGGTAAAGGTACCAAATTAACCAGTAAAACACAAGTTAGTACCCTTTAAAGGCGAAAAATAATCACGAGGGACCATTTAAACTAATATACTAAACATTGTTGGGCTACAGTGACAATAACCCTTTTTGAAAAGCAAAGAACAAATAGATGAGAAGTCGATTGTCCATGGTCGAATGTCGATGGTGACGAATTAAAGAAGATAATGGAAAGTTTCGAATTTAATCCTTTAAGTTTCAAATGTTTGACAATTTATACCCACCTTCAAAATGAGGATTAATATTCCACATTTTGAAAGAAAATGGAATATTTCAAAATTGGTCTTTAAAGTTTCATATAATTGACAGTTTACAACCACTTTTGAAATGAGGACTAATTTTTGAATGTTTGAAGAATTGTACAGTTGTTTCGAAGTTGTTCCTGAAGTTTCTAACATGTTGCAGAATTCATCCAACTTCGACATTGGGCTGAAATTTTTGAGAAATGGGATAATTTTCGAAGTAACCCCTCCAGTCAATGCGAATTGACGTTTTCTACCCAATTTCGCAAATGGTGGAGAGTTTCCCATTTTTGGTTGTTTTGGGCGCACCGGGTCACTGAAAAATTTTGAAATTGACAATTTCTACCTAGTTTTCAGAAATTTTGTCAAAGGCGTTCCGTTAACGAAGCTAAAACTTGAGGATTTTTTGAATTTTCTGGATTGAAGCAAAATGTTTATGACATGTGTTAAATGGGAGTTTTGGATAGAAAAATTCAAAATTGAGCGCTTTCTCATTCCTTTTTTGGTTTTATAATCATTTTTTGATTATAAAAAGGGGAGAGATTTAGAAATGGGAATTCAAAAGTTGAATTTTTCGTACTACACGGACTTGAGTACTGAAGTGACCTCGAGTATTTGAAGTTTATGAGATGATTCGATTGGAGATTCAGAAGTGGTTTCGGTTGATGATGGGTTTGTACTTATAGAAGATTTTTGGAGTGTGCTTTTATGCTCAAACTTGGGTAATTTTTTTGGAGATTGAGAAACTCCTAATTACCTTTTGGTGCTCGGTTCATATGGTCTCACATTCTAGAACCCAAATTGAAGAATCATAGAAGAATTGAAGATTCGATGTTCATCTCTACATATGTCACGTTTGAGGCTCGGTTCGTGAAGTTGCTCGAGTTTTGAAGATTTGAAGCGGGTCATCTACTCCTAACTTTGAGGGGATAATGATGGGTACAAAGTTATCCATGTATGACTTTGTAAATGGTTTAACTTTTGTAGACCCACTAGCATGTGGTAAAATAGCCTTGTGACATAAGAGATAGATAGATATATAAATAGATAGATAGATAGAGGGAGAGAGAGAGAGAGAGAGAGAGGGGTAAACACCTCTATGTAAGGTGGTTTCATTATATTGGATTAGGTTTCTAAGCCCATAACTATAATTGATATGTACTTGACCGAGAGTAGCATGGTCCATTTGGGTTGCATTCACCAGAACAAACTGATAGAATGGATATTTGAGAAAGTGGTTATTTGTGATTTATTAATATATAATAAGTATAATATATTAATTGAGAAATCATAATATTTAATTAGTATTGACCAATAATTAATTTGGAATTAATTTAGTGATCAAAAGAGACTAATTCAATTAACGGGGACTGATTATGTAAATCAGTTATATATATATATATATATATATATATATACCACATACCATACATAACACATACTGTATAACATAATTGGTTACTAACTACCTCTTCGGTCCTGTTGACCAGTACTTTGGCTAGCATATCAGGGTGCTTGCCTACCCCTTCAATCCTTTCGACCGGTCCCTTGCCTAGCGTATCAGGATGTTGGCTTACCCCTTTAATCCTTTCAACAGGTACCTTGTCTAGCATATCAGGGTGCTGACCTACCCTTTCGGTCCTTTTCAACCAGTACTGGGGACTATTTCACCCTACTACTACCTCATAAAAACATAACATAAGCATTTTTGTCCCAGCATATACCCATAGGTCCATGCTTCGGGTAAAAGACTGCTTTACCCCTATCTTATATTGATTCAAACCTAAGGCCCAATCGAAATTGCCAAAAGTCAACTATGAGTCAAAGCCCAACATATGGCCCAATTTTCCAAATTGGGCCCAAACCTTTACATGGTCTTATTCTAAGGCCCAACCATTTACAGTCTAAACATTTGGCATTTCTAATGGTCCAATATCTCATAACAATAAAGCCCTAATTATGGCCTACCTATGGCCCAATTGTCCAAAATGGGCCTAAACCCTCACATGGCCTTACCCTAAAGCCCATCCAATTATTCTTGTCCATATGATTGTTCTTGAACGGCCCATTATTGTCCTAATCACCAAATCCCAATAGAAAGGCCCAACTTAAAGCCCAAGTGAAATTAGGGTTTTCACAATAAATTACGATTAGGGCTAAGCGTTTTTCACTTAACCCATTAAGGACTTAATCCATTAAGTCCATAACTCTTCTAAATAAATCATATGGTGTGAACGGATGTAATTCACAATTCCATTCCAATGGCCCAATATGCGGGTCCTGAAAAAGTCCAAACCAATAATTCTAAAATTAGGGTTTTCTAAATGCTAATTAGGTTTTTCAACCCAATTAAGCCCAATAACTATATCTTTTGATCAATTAGGTTTCATTAGGCCCACTATAGTTTTATTAGGTCAATTAGGGTTTTACCTTTGTCGGGCACCACCGACTACCACCTCGGGTAGTGGTGGTCAACGGTGGCAGCCACCACCTCACTATGGTGGTTACGAGTTTGTTTTATTATTCTTGCATCGGTTACAATATTACAAAGCAAAGACCCAAATAACATACACACACACATCCACCCTAGTGGTGGTCGGCAGTGGCACATGGTGGAAACCACCATCTCACGGTGTTGATGGTGGCCTTTCCTTGGTTTTCCGGTTAGACATACCACACATACAAACACTTCAGATGGCAGTATATACTCCATCCACCCACTTAGTGGCTTATGATGACGACAACAACAGATATGGGATGGCAACCACTACCTCATGGTGGTAGCGGTGGTATCTTTTGTTTCCTGGTCAAGCAGCAACGCACCCCAGCAAGCCCTTGCTTGGAAATTTGGATGCAACCACCACTTGGTGGTGCATGATGACGGTTGTTGTAGTCCTAGCGGCCACAGCAGTGGTTCACGGTGGCTGTTGGAGTCGTCAGAACCACAACAACGAAAGGAAGAGAAGGATTCGCCCTCTCTGATGGAATGAATGTCACATTAAGCCCCTTAATGTCCATACTTTATTCTCGAAGTCTCTTCACGTCATAAATGATAGTAGTGCTAGCAACAAGGCAGCAATGGTCTAGCGGAAGTGGTTACTAATGGCGATCGATGAAGCAACAGCGCGTGGAGGCTGCCCGCCACTTATCGTCGATCTTCAATGTTGACGATGAAAAGGATGACTCGATGGCACTTGGTGGCAGGAGAACGAACAAGGTGAATGGTGGTGGAGGCCGGAAGGGGTGGAAGGTATATGGACAGAGGTGATGACTACAGTTACAAGTTGCGGCTGTTCTTTCATCTACCAGGGTTACAGTTCCTTAGGGTTTATATACCCTACTCAATGGAACTGATTGCCATAATGGTAGAAATGGTCCCTCCCTCATGAAATTATTTCTATTTTGGTCCAATATTTACCCTTTATACTCCACCTTCTGAAACCCTTTACAAATTAAGTCCAAATTTTACCAAAGAGCCCCTCCCTCTACAAATCCTTTTCAAATTAGGTCCATAATTTACTCTTTAGCCCATGCTTCCATAAATCCTATCATATTAAGTCCAAGTGATACCAAACACCCATGTCTTCTAAAAATCTTTACAAAATAAATCCCAAAATTTACACTTTTAACCCCAAACTTCTAAAACTGTGGAAGCTAGCTCCTCGAGACCAACACCTTGCTATATAATTATTGATTTTAGGACTACTATACATTTATTTATTTATTTATTTAATAAAAAGGGTGTTACAACTCTCCCCCACTTAAATTAGATTTCATCCTTGAAATCATTCCTTATCATTCCTCACATGCTAAACTACTCTAGTAATATAGATACAACCCTGAGCATAGCCCTAGCCTTCCTAAGGCATTCTAAATCATCCCTCACAGGGTACTGAAACCTAGAAATTAACGAACTTCTTGCAATAATATCACATCTACTTCGTCTGAAATCTGCAGTCTCGAGGTGGTCTTACTCCCTATCAGACCACTCATACTAGATCATTATTGTTGAACCCAGTCCACTTATCTCTCAATTAACTACTCAACTTCTGACAACTCGAGGTCCCACAATAAAATAGGATCAAGGAACCAATTATCCCCGTAGATCACTTATTCTTGGCCAAACTCAAATAATCCTGATGTAAGTGACTTAGCATCACCCAATCAACTAGCTACTACATTCGTACTTGCAACCTAAAACACAAATACTAACACTGCCCAAACACTGAAACTGCCCGAACCCTAAACAACTTGAAATAGCATGTTGCCCTATGGATGCTTTCCAAAATCTACCGAGACCTGCCTGGTCTCAATTCATTCGCCATTCATCTGAAATATCGGGTTTCGGTTCGGTTGCGGAGCCAAAGGACTCCCACTTAATCGTCTCACACGG